TTTCCCTACCACACTGCCCCTCGCCCCCCCCCGCCGCTCTTTCTCGCCTCAGGTCCTCCCCAGGTAGACCCCCTCTCCGCACCAGGTCCTGCTCCCTCAGGTGTTTCTCAGGTAGACCCTCCCGTCCCTGCGCCTGCTGAGGTCACTGGTGACTCCGGTCTTACTGGGAGTGGTGCTGTCCCTTGGGGTGCGGAGCTTGGGGGTGTGCAGCGTTGGGGTGCTGGGTCTGGGGGCACTGAGCGTGAGGAGCCTGAGGGTGCAGAGCGTGGAGGTGCTGAGCCTGCGTGTGAGGAGCCTGGAGGTCCTGAGCCTGGGGGTGCTGCTTTTGGGGGTGCTTCGTCTAGTGGTGCTGAGACTGCGTGTGCGGAGCCTGGGGGTGCTTCGTCTGGGGGTGAGTTTCCTGAGTGTTCTGAGACTACTGTTCCGCGGTCTCCTTGGAGTAGCCGTCTTCGTCCGCGTGTGCCTCTCACCTCCCAGCAGCTGCACGACTGGTACGGTCGCCGTCAGCGTCGCGCTTCTGCACCTCAGGGCTCTCCTGCTGGGGGTCCTTTTACTGGCGCTGGGAGTGGTGCCGGTCCTTTGTCTGCTAGAGGTGCTGGTGTAGTTGGTCCCAGAGGTGCTCGTACTGGGGGTACTGGAGCTGCTGGGGCTGGCGGTGTTGTGTCTGAGGGTGCTTCTCCTGGTGGCGCTGCGGCTGGAGACCCTGGGGCTGGAGGTGCCGGTTCTGGGGGTGCTGCAGTAGGTGGAGCTGGTGCTGAGGGTACTGGAGCTGCTGGAGGTCCTGGGGCTGCTGAGGGTACTGGAGCTGCTGGAGGTGCTGGAGATGCTGAGGGTGCTGGAGCTGCTGAGGGTACTGGAGCTGCTGGTGGTGCTGGAGCTCTTGAGGGTACTGGAGCTGCTGGGGGTGCTGGGGCTGCTGGTGCTGGTGGCACTGCATAGCCGCGCCTGTTCTTCGCTCCACCGTCTCCGTCGTCTCAGCCGCCGCCTGACTCTGCACTTCGCCAGGTTCTCAATCTCCCCTCGTCTACTGGTCTTCCGTTACAGCCTGGCTCACCGCTGTCTGCTCCTTCACCGTACACAAAGCAAACCGGAGGCCTTACTGAGCGTCGTGAGCCTGCGTCGCGTCCTGTCTCACCTGTATGTTCTGGTCGTTCCAGTCGTCGTCTTCCTCGTCAGCGTCAGCCGGCTCTCCCCGACCCTTCCCTTGTAGTCCGTCGTCCTTCCTCTCCTCTGCCGTGTGTTCCCCTGCCGTCCCCTCCTGCGTCTTCTCTGCCTACCGTTCCTGACCCTGAGTTTGACCGCACCCGTGCTGCTCACCCTACTGTCACGCGTCTACTAGCCACTGCTGTCACTGACCCGTCGTTTGAGTCTGGTGCTGCGTCTGCCTTTGTCGCTGAGCTGGTTGACTTTGCTGCTGCCTATCGTCTGGACTACGCTGCTAGTCTGGTTGTTGAGTCTGATTGTGTCTGTCCTCCGTCCGTCGGGGGTGAGTGTGCTCTTAGCGCGAACATCCTTGAGGACAGGCAGGAGGACCTTGAGTGTCTTGCAGCCGCCGCACCTCATCTCGTGTCCATGCTGCTTGCCCCTGAGGGAGACCCGGATGCATCAGACATCCCGACCCCGCACTCTTACGCTGAGGCGATTGCGGGTGAGTACTCGTCTCAGTGGCAGACAGCCATGGACGCAGAGATGGCATCCTGGAAGTCCACACGCACTTACGTTGACGAGGTTCCCCCACCTGGGGCGAACATCGTCAGTGGCATGCGGATTTTCAGGGTGAAGCGGCCGCCAGGTTCTCCGCCTGTCTTCAAGGCTCGTTACGTTGCTCGAGGTTTCAGTCAGCGAGAGGGAGTCGACTTCTTCCAAACCTTCTCCCCCACCCCGAAGATGGCCACTCTTCGGGTGTTGCTGCACGTTGCTGCTCAGCGTGACTACGGGCTTCACTCTCTTGACTTCAGCATAGCTTTCTTACAGGGCAGCCTGCACGAGGAGATCTGGCTGCGCCGCCCGCCTGGCTTCACTGGGTCGTTCCCTCCTGGTACCCAGTGGAGCCTCCGGCGACCGGTCTACGGTCTCCGCCAAACGCCTCGTGAGTGGCACGACACACTAAGGATGACACTTGCGGCTCTTGGGTTCGCGCCTTCTACTGCTGACCCATCGCTGTTTCTGCGCACCGACACTTCGCTGCCGCCGTTCTATATCCTCGTGTATGTCGACGACTTGGTCTTTGCCACTGCTGACACTGAGCCTCTCGCCTTGGTGAAGTCGGAGCTGCAGAAGAGACACACGTGCACAGACCTGGGTGAGCTGCGTAGCTACCTTGGCTTGCAGATCACCCGGGACAGAGCACGCCGCACCATTACACTGACTCAGTCACACATGGTGCAGCAGGTCCTTCAGCGCTTCGGCTTCACCTGGTCCTCGCCACAGCGCACTCCTCTAGCTACAGGCCACTCGCTCTCAGCTCCACCTTCAGACGAGTCCGTAGAGCCGAGTGGCACGTACCCAGAGCTAGTGGGCTGCCTCATGTACTTGATGAGCTGCACTCGACCTGACCTTGCGTACCCTCTTGGCCTTCTGGCCCGCTACGTGGCTCCTAGTAGGCACCGAAAGGAGCACATGGATGCTCCGAAGAGGGTACTGCGCTACTTGTGCAGTACAACAGGCATGGGGCTCGTGCGTCGAGGGCGGAGCCCAGTTGTCCTCACTGGGCACTCGGACGCTTCTTGGGTTGACGACCTAGCTACGCAGCGATCGTCACAGGGTTACACCTTGAGCCTTGGCTCTGGTTCAGTTTCCTGGCGTTCTACACGCTCGTCTTCAGTTCTCGGCTCTAGTTGTGAGTCTGAGATCTACGCCACAGCCATGGCTGCACAGGAGTTGCGCTGGCTCACCTACTTGCTGACCGACTTGGGAGAGCGGCCTCGTTCTCCTCCAGTGCTGTACGTCAACAACAAGGCCGCCATTGCCTTGTGTCAGGAGCACAGACAGGAGCATAGAACGAAGCACATCGCTCTACGTTACTTCCTTGCTCAAGAGTTGCAGCAGCGTGGTCAGCTTCGTCGTGCTCACGTGGCCACTTAGGCAAGGGTGAGAACGGAGGGGGGAGATGGCTGAAAGGGAGGGGAAGGATGACTGAAAGGGAGCGGGGAGATGACTGAAGAGTCCAACTGAAGAAAATTGCTGCTAATAGAACAAGAGTCAGGTGTTGGGATAGCCAGGATGGGGGAAAATGAGAGGGAATGCGAAAAAAAGGGAGAAGATGATAAAAGAAAAACAAATGGTGAGCGTGTTTTGGAGAGAACGGGAGTGGTGTGGGTTGGCGAGAGAAGGAAAGAGAGGAGTAACGAGGAGTAGTACATTTGAGACTCAAGTCATGCAAGTTTTTTCGAATGACAGAAAAATGAGGTGAATAAATTGGAAAGGGGCATACAAAGAGGGAAGACACGATGGAACCTATTAGATGGAACAGGCCCTTGTTTAGTCAACAGCACGCATGGTTTTCCCATCCCAACCGTCCTATTTTAAAACCATCCATAAAATCTTGTGGCATTCCTTCCAACCCATGCCGTCCATCCATGTTAGCTCATGTCATCCATGATAGCTCATGTCATCCATGCTAGCTCATGTCATCCATGCTAGCTCATGCCATCTATGCTAGCTCATGCCATCTATGCTAGCTCATGCCATCTATGACAGCTCATGCCATCTATGCTATCTCATGTCATCTATGCTAGCTCATGCCATCTATGCTAGCTCATGTCATCTATGCTAGCTCATGCCATCTATGTTAGCTCATGCTATGCCAGCTCATGCCATCTATGCTAGCTCATGCCCTATATGCTAGCTCATGCGTCTGTGGTAGCTCATGTCATCTATGCCAGCTCATGTCATCTTCCCATTGATCCTATCTCATGTCACCCATCCTACCTCATGCCACCCGTCCTACCTGATGCCCTAATACCTCTCATGCTATCTCATGCCGCCCATCCCAACGCATGCCATGTCTCCTCTTCTTGCTCCCTCCATCCCGCTGATTCTTTCTCTACCATCAGCGTATTTTCCCTGCAATTGCAAGCTTCTCTTAAACTCCCCTCTCCTCTCTTCTTGTCGTTCCACGCCTCCAGCTTCGTTCACTCTGGGCTGGCTGTTACACATAAGCTCGAACACCTAAGGCATATAGTCTTGGGGCAGTGCACCTTACAAGAGTTGGAATAACGAGAACAGGTTTGAAGTTTCCCTGGTTTTAGGTTCAAAGGCTATGCATATTCAGTATTGAGCCTGCTTTACAGAATTCCAGTTTTTTTTGTTGGGAAGCATTCTCAGATAGGCAAAACAGAAACCTAACTACCCAGACACCTTTCCAACTCTCCAAGATTATGACATCCATTTCTGGAGTTTCCAACAATTTCAGGCCAGGATGCGAGCCAGCATAACAATACTGGTAGTGGCCTACATGGTTAGTTACTGATAATCGCCAGATGGAACTCTGAGCTGAGGTGGTGATGAAAACAGAACTCCAGGTGGACCACTTCAGCCTGCTCCAACCCAATCTGGGGGCCTGTTTGTATACCAGTCCCATAAATATGACAAACGATGTACGGTAGCATACAGCAAACTTCTTATGGTACCAGACTTCAGTTTGATCAGAGGTACGTCTGAGTATAGGTTGTAGAAATGAGGACCTCGGGGACTGGCTAGCATGCAAATTCCAGAGAAAAAAACTTGTGACTTCGAAAAGGATTTTTTGACACAGTTCATTTGCACCAAGAATATTTACACAGCAAATTGGAAACGTGAAGTCACTGAGCCACCGATCTATGAACAACCACAGCAGAACAGATGTAGAGTACCCTGCCCTTCCCCATGGACCATGAATCCATGATTCTATAAATGCAGAAGGCTTCAGTGCGTAATCATTTGGCAAAGTCATTTGCACAAAGTAAGTTCTGTAACACGTCGAATGTCAGAACCCATGTTGCAGCTTTGCTCAGCTGGAGTCAATTTCGGGAGAATTCGGGCCGCAAGCGTTGCACCTTGGAGGTCAAGCGGGTGAGCAGCTCTCGCTCCTGCATTGAGGGAGGGCCCACGGAGCGACAGACAGCAGTCAATCCAGGCACAGGATCGGCAGGAAGAGGAGTGGAGAAACTCTTAATGGAAGAGTGAGTAGTGGGGGCTGGCTCCCATTTGGACTGGGTCCCATGTGAGATTGAGCAGCTGCTGTGAATCATGGGGTTCATTGCGCCCTGAATGCCTGTGCACACGCTTTCGACGTGCCTATCGCTCTCAACTCACCGGGTCGGTCTCTCTCAGTGCTAGCAGGTGCCTGATTCCCTCCTCCACTTCTATGTCTAAAAAACAACGCCAGCTTACTGAGTCCCAGCTTACCAGGACCCAGCTTACCGGGTCGGTCTCTCTCAACGCCAGCAGATGGTTGATACCCTCCTCCACTGCATGCCGCACCATGCCTGGATCATGCATGCATGCACATGCACATGCACACACATGCAGGCATGAATTGAAAAGCTTTGAGCGAGAAGCTGAACGGGGAAGGAAGCAAGTTACAGGGACACGACACGACAGACAGGGAAAAAGGGGCCGACTGAATGAGAAGGTGAAACCAAGATGCGCGTGAGAAGGTGCAACTCAAAACAAGGTGCATACCGTCCTGTTTTTGAAGCGGTGCAGAGAGTACGGTGGGAGAGGTTTGGTGGCAGAGGGAGGGCGGCAGCACATCCCGCATGAAATGGCACATCCCGCATGAAATGGCACATCCCGCATGAAACGGCACATCCCGCATGAAATGGCACATCCCGCATGAAATGGCACATCCCGCATGAAATGGCACATCCCGCATGAAACGGCACATCCCACATGAAACGGCACATCCCACATTAAATGGCACATCCCGCATGAAATGGCACATCCCGCATGACATGGCACATCCCACATAAAATGGCACATCCCGCATGAAACGGCACATCCCGCATGAAATGGCACATCCCGCATGAAACGGCACATCCCACATGAAATGGCACATCCCGCATGAAACGGCACATCCCACATGAAACGGCACATCCCACATGAAACGGCATGATACAGCAGATCATTAGATTGGCCACACATGAATCAAGCAGATATCCGGGGAAAAAAAGGAGGGGGAGGGAAAACGGAGGGGAGGGAGAAAAAAGGGGAGAAGGAGAAAGGGGAGCAGAAGACGAGGGAAGGTAAGAGTAGGAGATTGAAACAAGTTGTCGACAGTAATATGGGCCGAGACAAGCACACATGCCAGCACACAAAATCAAGCAGAGAGTTTGATGCAAACTGCACTGCGCTGCGATCGTGCAAGAACTTGAGGTGGATGGGCAAATTAACGATGGATGGATGGGGATCAGTCAAGGCATACATGGCATGTGATGGGCCACATGCATGATACAATGAAGACGGCACGCTGTGATGATGGCATGATGCAGGCATGATGCAACAATGATGGCATGATGCAACAATAAGATGCATGATGCAACAATGGTGCCATGACGATGCCATGATGCTGTCATGATGACGCCATGATGATGCCATGATGATGCCATGATGATGCCATGATGATGCCATGTTGCACGACAATCACACCTGTAACGTAGAAGGTGGAAGGTCCTTGAAGTCAATAGGTGTGCCGAAATAAAAATACACTCTCTCCAGGCGACTGGGAAGGGGAATTAGACTGGTGGTGGGATGGCAGGTATTTGGAGAAGGGGGTGGGGGTCAGAGGAGAGTAGCCGAGTAAGGTCATCTCACCTCACGACAGCTCAACTCATTTCATCTCATCTCATCTCATCTCATCTCATCTCATCTCATCTCATCTCATCTCATCTCATCTCATCTCATCTCATCTCATCTCATCTCATCTCATCTCATCTCATCTCATCTCATCTCATCTCAACTCATCTCATCTCATCCCATCCCATCCCATCCCAACCCATCTCATCTCATCCCATCCCATCCCATCCCATCCCATCCCATCCCATCCCATCCCATCCCACCCCATCCGATCCCATCCGATCCCATCCGATCCCATCCGATCCCATCCCATCCCATCCCATCCCATCCCATCCCATCCCATCCCATCCCATCCCATCCCATTCCACCCCACCACATCCCACTGCATCTTACCTGGGGAAGTTGGTGCCGGGAATGGTTGTGACAGGGCTGATGTCAGTGTCAGGGTCAAGACTGAGAGATTCATACAAGGAGCGAAAGGGTTTTCCCAGCGGAGAGGCCAGGAGGTCGTTCCGATCTAGAGCAATGTCAAAACTGGTAGCGGGAGGGGATTGGGGGAGGAGGGAACGAAGGGAAGGGAGGGAGAGGGTCAAGACTGAGAGATTCATACAAGGAGCGAAAGGGCTTTCCCAGCGGAGAGGCCAGGAGGTCGTTCCGATCTAGAGCAATGTCAAAACTGGTAGCGGGAGGGGATTGGGGGAGGAGGGAACGAAGGGAAGGGAGGGAGGGGGTTAAGACTGAGAGATTCATACAAGGAGCGAAAGGGCTTTCCCAGCGGAGAGGCCAGGAGGTCGTTCCGATCTAGAGCAATGTCAAAACTGGTAGCGGGAGGGGATTGGGGGAGGAGGGAACGAAGGGAAGGGAGGGAGAGGGTCAAGACTGAGAGATTCATACAAGGAGCGAAAGGGCTTTCCCAGCGGAGAGGCCAGGAGGTCGTTCCGATCTAGAGCAATGTCAAAACTGGTAGCGGGAGGGGATTGGGGGAGGAGGGAACGAAGGGAAGGGAGGGAGAGGGTCAAGACTGAGAGATTCATACAAGGAGCGAAAGGGCTTTCCCAGCGGAGAGGCCAGGAGGTCGTTTCGGTCTAGAGCAATGTCAAATCTGGTGGGAGGTGGATGGGGGGATGGATGAGAAGGGGCACGGGGGAGTGGCGGGGAGGGAAGGTTTCAAGGCTGAGCGATTCATACAAATACAAGGAGCGGAAAGGCTTTCCCAAAGGGGAGGCCAGCACGTCGGTTCGGTCTAGAGCAATGTCAAAGCTGGTGGGAGGTGGATGGGGGGATGGGGATGGATGAGAAGGGGAGGGGAGGGCGGAAAGAGGGGGTAAGAGAGGGGAGAGGATGGGGGTCGGGTCAAGGCTGAACGATCCATTCAAGGAGCGGAGGGGCTTGCAATGTCAAAGCTGGGTTGACTTTTGAGTCAACTCGTTTTGAGTCGGCTCAAAAGTCAACTCGTTTTGAGTCGGCTCAAAAGTCAACTCGTTTTGATCGGCTCAAAAGTCAACTCGTTTTGAGTCAGCTCAAAAGTCAACTCGTTTTGAGTCGGCTCAAAAGTCAACTCGTTTTGATCGGCTCAAAAGTCAACTCGTTTTGAGTCGGCTCAAAAGTCAACTCGTTTTGAGTCGGGCTCAAAAGTCAACTCGTTTTGAGTCGGCTCAAAAGTCAACTCGTTTTGAGTCGGCTCAAAAGTCAACTCGTTTTGAGTCGGCTCAAAAGTCAACTCGTTTTGAGTCGGGCTCAAAAGTCAGCTCGTTTTGAGTCGGCTCAGAAGTCAACTCGTTTTGAGTCGGGCTCAAAAGTGAATCCATACAAGGAGCAGAGGGGTTTGCATTGCAATGTCAAAGCTGGTGGGATGGATGGGCTGGATGGATGAGTGGAGGAAGAAGGTGAGTGGGGGATACAGAAGTGGAGAAAAAAAGGGGGTAAGAAGGGAGGGGGGAGAGCGGATGGGGAGAGGGGGGTGGGGAAATGACGGCTGCAGAGTGAAAATAGGGAGAGGCAAGGAAGTGCGTTTATCACACGGCACACACATGCGATTGAGAGACTTTTTTAGAATAAAAAAAAAACACCTGCAACGAGAGGGAAAGAAGCCGCGTATATCTATCACACGGCACACACATGCGACTGAGAGACTCTCTCAACTCTCGCGTCATCAGTGGCGACCATGGCAAAGGGCACAATGATGGTGTTGAGGAGAGGAGGAGGAGGAGGAGGAGGAGGAGGAGGAGGAGGAGGAGGAGGAGGAGGAGGAGGAGGAGGAGGAGGAGGAGGAGGAGGAGGAGGAGGAGGAGGAGGAGGAGGAGGAGGAGGAGGAGGAGGAGGAGGAAAGGCAACAATGTGTTGAGGGCCACAGCTGATCGGTTGAGTCGAGACTGTCTAGACTCACGCGTCGTCAGCGCCGACCATGGCAAAGGGCACAATGATGGCGTCGAGGAGAGCAGGAGGAGGAGAGCCGGAGATGGAGTTGGGAGCACAGGTAAGCCAATGGCGGTGGGACTCACGCATCATCAGCACCGACCATGGCAAAGGGCACAATGAATGATGGCGTTGAGCTTCGCTGCCACCATCCCCAGTGCCTCCTGTGCCTCTGGTCCCACTAGGGCACAACCCGAGAGCCTCCTGTGCCTCTGTGCCTCCAGTGACTCTCTACACTCACGCGTCGTCAGCGCCGACCATGGCGAAGGGCACAATGATGGCGTTGAGCTTCGCTGCCATGCGCATCATGCCACCGTCGCCACTGCCGCCGCTGCTGCCTCTGTTGCCCTCGCCAATTCCCCACCTCAGCTGATACCTCTCACCCTGCCTCGACGGGATGGAGAAAGGGGATGGAGGAATGAAGAGAGGGTGTTGGCGGTTGTGGCGGCGCCATCCGCTTGGCCCTGCCTGGATGCGCCTCTGTCATCAGACGCAGCCTCTGCCTTTCAGTCAAGCTTGCTGCGGTTCGAACCCTTTCAACTCGGCGCCATCCTCTTGGCCCTGCCTGGATGCGCCTCTGTCATTCATCCCTCATGCCATGGAGAGTAGAAAAAAGGTTCCAGCCTCAGCAAGCCGTGGGTGATTCAGCTGCGGTTTGAAACCCTTTTCTACTCTGTCATTCATCCCTCGTGCCATTAGCTCAGGCAAACGGGTGCAAGCAGGTAATTCAGAATAGAACAACCCTCAAATGAAAGGAGGGAGATTAATCTCATGCTTGTGCTAGGCCTGACCCCCTCAACCATGAAGCCACCGTGACAGACTCCCCACCACTCTTCTTCTGGCTTCTCCTCATCCTGCTTCCCCTCTCCCCTCCCCTCACCTCCCTCCCTCCCCTCCCCTCACCTCCCTCCCTCCCCTCCCCTCACCTCCCTCCCTCCCCTCCCCTCACCTCCTACCCTCCCCTCCCCTCCCCTCCCTCCCTCCCTCCCCTCCCCTCCTTCCCCTAACCTCCCTTCCCTCCCCCATCTCTTCTCCTCTCTCCTTCCTTTCCTCCTCCATCTTTTCTTCCCTCCCTGCACCTCCCTTCCCCGTCCCTCTTCCCTCCCGCACCTTGAGGCGGCACGTCTCTTTGGAGCCCCCAGGGAACACTAGCGCAGGCCCTCCCTCCTGACAGGACCACAAAGAGGCACATGGGAGTGAGTGGCAAGGGGAAGGAGAATGTGAGAGGGGAAGTGCAGTGAGGTGGGAGGGTGGGGGTGGGGCATGTTTCTTTGGAGTCCCCAGGGAACACCAGCACAGGCCCTCCCTCCTGACAGGTGAGTGAGGGTCCCAATAAGGCACATGGGAGTGGGTGGTGGGGCGATGAGGCACATGGGAGTGGGTGGCGAGGGGAAGGAAGAAGATGCGGGGTTGTGTTTCGAGTCGAGTAAAAACCTCCTGGCTACACGAGCACATGCCTGCCCGCCTGATGGGGTGGGTCCCAACGAGGCACATGGCAGTGCGTGGCGGAGGGGGAGGAGAGAGTTGAGGGAACAAAGACTGTTGAGGGGACAAACACTGCTGAGGGGACAAAGACTGTTGAGGGGACAAACACTGCTGAGGGGACAAACACTGCTGAGGCGGGAGGTGGGGGGTGGAAACAGCAGCGCGGACACGGTCGAGTCTTTGAGTTTACTAAAGAGCACAGTCCAGAACGTACGATCTCTATCGACTTGACAGGATTATTGAGTCGACTAAAAAACACAGTCGAGCCAGAACGTACGATCTCTATGGACTCGACTGGATTCCGACCCGACCCACAATGTAGTCTTTCATTCTGTAATCCTACGGTGCTGACAAAGGCCTCACGGCGGAACGCACATTTGCTATGCGCAGGTCACTTAGCGGAACATTTTTTCGAGGCGCCCCAAAAATAGTCAGCTTGAGCACACTAGTAAGGGCAGCAAATTACCTTTCGGGTGCATCAAGAGCAAAATATGAAGAATGACAAGTTACTTTCGAGATGACTTTTGGGGCGCCTCAAGAGTCAAGAGCACACTGTGAAGAGCAACACTGTGATGAGCAACACTGTGATGAGCAACACTGTGATGAGCAACACTGTGATGAGCAACACTGTGATGAGCAACACTGTGATGAGCAACACTGTGAAGAGCAACAACGTACTTTGAGCAGCTCGTATAAGGCACGGGGCGACGCCTTGACATGACCAAAGCTGCAAGCGAGTGGAGATGGGATGGCATGGGTGGGATGAGATGGCATGGTTGGGAAGAGATGGCATGGTTGGGAAGAGATGGCATGGTTGGGAAGAGATGGCATGTGTGGTACGGATGGTATCTCCTCACGTAACACATCACCTTACCTCGCCTCAGTTTTCCACACCTCGCCTCACCTTTCCAGACCTCGCCTCACCTCTCCTCACCTCACCTCTCCTCACCTCACCTCACCTCACCTCACCTCACCTCACCTCACCTCACTTCACCTAACCAACTTAAATACCCCTGGACACATGTTTCTCAGTTGCGTTACTGAAAGACCCTCCCACAAAACGCCCCGAGCCCACCATTTTCACTTGAAGCAGCACCACAACCCACCTCACTTGAAGCAGCACCACAACCCACCTCACTTGAAGCAGCACCACAACCCACCTCACTTGAAGCAGCACCACAACCCACCTCACTTGAAGCAGCACCACAACCCACCTCACTTGAAGCAGCACCACAACCCACCTCACTTGACGCAGCACCACAACCCACCTCACTTGAAGCAGCACCACAACCCACCTCACTTGAAGCAGCACCACAACCCACCTCACTTGAAGCAGCACCACAACCCACCTCACTTGAAGCAGCACCACAACCCACCTCACTTGAAGCAGCACCACAACCCACCTCACTTGAAGCAGCACCACAACCCACCTCACTTGAAGCAGCACCACAACCCACCTCACTTGACGCAGCACCACAACTCACCTCACTTGAAGCAGCACCACAACCCACCTCACTTGAAGCAGCACCACAACCCACCTCACTTGAAGCAGCACCACAACCCACCTCACTTGAAGCAGCACCACAACCCACCTCACTTGAAGCAGCACCACAACCCACCTCACTTGAAGCAGCACCACAACCCACCTCACTTGAAGCAGCACCACAACCCACCTCACTTGAAGCAGCACCACAACCCACCTCACTTGAAGCAGCACCACAACCCACCTCACTTGAAGCAGCACCACAACCCACCTCACTTGAAGCAGCACCACAACCCACCTCACTTGAAGCAGCACCACAACCCACCTCACTTGAAGCAGCACCACAACCCACCTCACTTGAAGCAGCACCACAACCCACCTCACTTGACGCAGCACCACAACCCACCTCACTTGACGCAGCACCACAACCCACCTCACTTGAAGCAGCACCACAACCCACCTCACTTGAAGCAGCACCACAACCCACCTCACTTGACGCAGCACCACAACCCACCTCACTTGACGCAGCACCACAACCCACCTCACTTGAAGCAGCACCACAACCCACCTCACTTGAAGCAGCACCACAACCCACCTCACTTGAAGCAGCACCACAACCCACCTCACTTGAAGCAGCACCACAACCCACCTCACTTGAAGCAGCACCACAACCCACCTCACTTGAAGCAGCACCACAACCCACCTCACTTGAAGTAGCACCACAACCCACCTCACTTGAAGCAGCACCACAACCCACCTCACTTGAAGCAGCACCACAACCCACCTCACTTGAAGCAGCACCACAACCCACCTCACTTGAAGCAGCGCCACAACCCACCTCACTTGAAGCAGCACCACAACCCACCTCACTTGAAGCAGCACCACAACCCACCTCACTTGAAGCAGCACCACAACCCACCTCACTTGAAGCAGCACCACAACCCACCTCACTTGAAGCAGCACCACAACCCACCTCACTTGAAGCAGCACCACAACCCACCTCACTTGAAGCAGCACCACAACCCACCTCACTTGAAGCAGCACCACAACCCACCTCACTTGAAGCAGCACCACAACCCACCTCACTTGAAGCAGCACCACAACCCACCTCACTTGAAGCAGCACCACAACCCACCTCACTTGAAGCAGCACCACAACCCACCTCACTTGAAGCAGCACCACAACCCACCTCACTTGAAGCAGCACCACAACCCACCTCACTTGAAGCAGCACCACAACCCACCTCACTTGAAGCAGCACCACAACCCACCTCACTTGAAGCAGCACCACAACCCACCTCACTTGACGCAGTACCACAACCCACCTCACTTGAAGCAGCACCACAACCCACCTCACTTGAAGCAGCACCACAACCCACCTCACTTGAAGCAGCACCACAACCCACCTCACTTGAAGCAGCACCACAACCCACCTCACTTGAAGCAGCACCACAACCCACCTCACTTGAAGCAGCACCACAACCCACCTCACTTGAAGCAGCACCACAACCCACCTCACTTGAAGCAGCACCACAACCCACCTCACTTGAAGCAGCACCACAACCCACCTCACTTGAAGCAGCACCACAACCCACCTCACTTGAAGCAGCACCACAACCCACCTCACTTGAAGCAGCACCACAACCCACCTCACTTGAAGCAGCACCACAACCCACCTCACTTGAAGCAGCACCACAACCCACCTCACTTGAAGCAGCACCACAACCCACCTCACTTGAAGCAGCACCACAACCCACCTCACTTGAAGCAGCACCACAACCCACCTCACTTGAAGCAGCACCACAACCCACCTCACTTGAAGCAGCACCACAACCCACCTCACTTGAAGCAGCACCACAACCCACCTCACTTGAAGCAGCACCACAACCCACCTCACTTGAAGCAGCACCACAACCCACCTCACTTGACGCAGCACCACAACCCACCTCACTTGAAGCAGCACCACAACCCACCTCACTTGAAGCAGCACCACAACCCACCTCACTTGAAGCAGCACCACAACCCACCTCACTTGAAGCAGCACCACAACCCACCTCACTTGAAGCAGCACCACAACCCACCTCACTTGACGCAGTACCACAACCCACCTCACTTGAAGCAGCACCACAACCCACCTCACTTGAAGCAGCACCACAACCCACCTCACTTGAAGCAGCACCACAACCCACCTCACTTGAAGCAGCACCACAACCCACCTCACTTGAAGCAGCACCACAACCCACCTCACTTGAAGCAGCACCACAACCCACCTCACTTGAAGCAGCACCACAACCCACCTCACTTGAAGCAGCACTACAACCCACCTCACTTGAAGCAGCACCACAACCCACCTCACTTGAAGCAGCACCACAACCCACCTCACTTGAAGCAGCACCACAACCCACCTCACTTGAAGCAGCACCACAACCCACCTCACTTGACGCAGCACCACAACCCACCTCACTTGACGCAGCACCACAACCCACCTCACTTGAAGCAGCACCACAACCCACCTCACTTGAAGCAGCACCACAACCCACCTCACTTGACGCAGCACCACAACCCACCTCACTTGACGCAGCACCACAACCCACCTCACTTGAAGCAGCACCACAACCCACCTCACTTGAAGCAGCACCACAACCCACCTCACTTGAAGCAGCACCACAACCCACCTCACTTGAAGCAGCACCACAACCCACCTCACTTGAAGCAGCACCACAACCCACCTCACTTGAAGCAGCACCACAACCCACCTCACTTGAAGTAGCACCACAACCCACCTCACTTGAAGCAGCACCACAACCCACCTCACTTGAAGCAGCACCACAACCCACCTCACTTGAAGCAGCACCACAACCCACCTCACTTGAAGCAGCGCCACAACCCACCTCACTTGAAGCAGCACCACAACCCACCTCACTTGAAGCAGCACCACAACCCACCTCACTTGAAGCAGCACCACAACCCACCTCACTTGAAGCAGCACCACAACCCACCTCACTTGAAGCAGCACCACAACCCACCTCACTTGAAGCAGCACCACAACCCACCTCACTTGAAGCAGCACCACAACCCACCTCACTTGAAGCAGCACCACAACCCACCTCACTTGAAGCAGCACCACAACCCACCTCACTTGAAGCAGCACCACAACCCACCTCACTTGAAGCAGCACCACAACCCACCTCACTTGAAGCAGCACCACAACCCACCTCACTTGAAGCAGCACCACAACCCACCTCACTTGAAGCAGCACCACAACCCACCTCACTTGAAGCAGCACCACAACCCACCTCACTTGAAGCAGCACCACAACCCACCTCACTTGAAGCAGCACCACAACCCACCTCACTTGACGCAGTACCACAACCCACCTCACTTGAAGCAGCACCACAACCCACCTCACTTGAAGCAGCACCACAACCCACCTCACTTGAAGCAGCACCACAACCCACCTCACTTGAAGCAGCACCACAACCCACCTCACTTGAAGCAGCACCACAACCCACCTCACTTGAAGCAGCACCACAACCCACCTCACTTGAAGCAGCACCACAACCCACCTCACTTGAAGCAGCACCACAACCCACCTCACTTGAAGCAGCACCACAACCCACCTCACTTGAAGCAGCACCACAACCCACCTCACTTGAAGCAGCACCACAACCCACCTCACTTGAAGCAGCACCACAACCCACCTCACTTGAAGCAGCACCACAACCCACCTCACTTGAAGCAGCACCACAACCCACCTCACTTGAAGCAGCACCACAACCCACCTCACTTGAAGCAGCACCACAACCCACCTCACTTGAAGCAGCACCACAACCCACCTCACTTGAAGCAGCACCGCAACCCACCTCACTTGAAGCAGCACCACAACCCACCTCACTTGAAGCAGCACCACAACCCACCTCACTTGAAGCAGCACCACAACCCACCTCACTTGAAGCAGCACCACAACCCACCTCACTTGACGCAGCACCACAACCCACCTCACTTGAAGCAGCACCACAACCCACCTCACTTGAAGCAGCACCACAACCCACCTCACTTGAAGCAGCACCACAACCCACCTCACTTGAAGCAGCACCACAACCCACCTCACTTGAAGCAGCACCACAACCCACCTCACTTGACGCAGTACCACAACCCACCTCACTTGAAGCAGCACCACAACCCACCTCACTTGAAGCAGCACCACAACCCACCTCACTTGAAGCAGCACCACAACCCACCTCA